ACTCCTGCTCCGACTCCAAGATGCTCTTTGCCCACCAAACTGTCTACATCTCTTCCGGGGATGGATTTCGCGGCTTAGAGCCGCATGGCAGGAGCTGGGGGCGCGGAAGACAGAGCAGATACGACAGTCCCCCCGGCCGCCGCACCATGTCCATCTCTCAGACCTTCCCCACGCCACCTCGGAAAATATGGCCACTCAACTACATACAGGGCCCGGGGGACTGTGTCCTTTGGGAAGGCTCAGGGGCCTTCTGTTTACGAAATGCGTTACCGTGTGGGCATCCTTCTGCCTTAATAGCGTCTCAGTAGCCCACTCCTCTCGAGGAATGAGAGGGGATTATCTTCCTTCCTTCCTTCCTTCCTTCCTTAAAAAAAAAAAAAAATCAATGAAAATCTGCAGCTTCAAAGAGGGGCTGGGGGATGCGCCGCGTTGGATTTGTCTGGTTTCTTCCTACAAGGGGAGAGCGGAGGCATCTGGGGAGCAGAGCGAGGCACGGAAAGGCCTCACGGAGGCGGCTCTGAGAGGAAGGAGCAGGACACACCGAGGTGAGCACGGCGGAGCAGCGGAGCCCTGCCGGAGCAGTGGGATACCGCAGCTTCGAGATTCTGCTCTCAGCTGCGGGAGACTGGGCACTGTCTTGAGGCCTGCCCGATCCCGGAAAGTGCCCGATCCCGGAAAGCGCCGGAGAAGGCCTCCATGGGCGGGGGCAGCCAGGGGCAGCCAGCTGCCTCCTCGCTGATACCGACCGCGCACAGAGGCTGCTGCCACCGCACACGCGATTTGCAGCAGGCAGCTCATGCCGAGTCTGTTTTGTGGAGGAGAGAGGGCGAGAGAGCAGAATTTGAGGGAAGGAAAGGAAACGGAGCGTCTCTGGCTCCCCTCTGCGATGCAGCAGTGTCGGGAGAAGGCAGACAGGGCAGCCAGCCCCGAGAGACACCGACTGCCGGTGCCCGCGGCTGCGGCCGCGCTGTGCGTGACGGCACCGCTCAGTCACTCTCTCGGCACGGAGGGAAAGGAATGGGAGGGGAAACCCTGCTCCTGTCTGGCAGTGGCTCGAGTCTCTTACGGCTACTCCCGCTTTGCTTTGTCCGGCCGGGGGACCCCGCGGTGAGGGCGCGGGTGCGTGCCGGGGCAGCCGCCGGCTTCTCGGGGCGAGCCCCGTGCCCGGGCACGCGTGTCCTTCCCCGGCTGGAGAAGCTCCGACCCCTCGCCCCCAGCTCTCCTCTCCCTGCCGCTCTTCCCGTCCGATTCTACGATGATTTCCTACCTGAAAAAACTAATCTTTTTGCCAGGCAGGTCAGAAACGATCAACAGGCTGTTGTATATTATGTTTTCATACACCTCTCGTCTCCCCCTGCCCTCTACCGACTCACTGTAGATCTGACCTTTGGTATTTCAGCCCACACTCAGCAGTTGAATGGAAACAAGTTGAGCACGTTCACTTCTGATAAACATTATCCTTAAACCACTGGAGACCCGAGCAGAGTAAACGAGCTTTTCCGACAGGACCACATCAGGAGCACACATTGAGAAAGGGAAAGAAACAAAATATCCAGGAGATCAGAGGCGGGCTCGGGGGTGGAAGGGTGGGAGAGAGAAGGAGGGGGAACAGACAGGTTGGAGGACACGGCGGAGGGGGGAGAGAAGGACCCAACTGTGAACACAATAGGCACAGATGGGAAGAGAAGCCGCCCGAGCAGCGTGGGAGAGCAGCGCAGGGTCACGCCCGAACATCTCAGCGATCCTGAGGGAGCTTTAGGGGCGCCGAGTGGGTCCAGGAGCGGCGGGGTCGGGCTTATACCACCCGTGCGCCCGGAGATGGTCCTCGGCCACACGCCACTGGACCGGGCTAAAGCAACGGGAACCAGCGTCGATCAGGGTGGCCGGGACGGCGAGGAGCCCAGGCCCCGTCGGGCTAGGGAGACACGCTGTGGGGCGAGCAGCCTTGTCGGGGATTCTGACAAGAAACTCCGCTTCAACAAGAAATACCCTGTTAAAGCAGATAGGAAGTTTTACTGACTCCCACCTCTTTGCATTGTTTAATTACATAAATAACTTAATTAAGGCTGGATCCAGGTCCCACTAGTTCAATGTCTTCTGCCTTAAAAATAGCCAAAGGAGGTCCGCTCAGAACACAGAAAGTCTGCTGGCTTCAGCAAACATGTGCCAGTACTGCCTGCGCAAAATGCCAGAACTTTCGGACAGTGGCATTTGCGCTCTTGTGAGGAGTGCTCCCCTTATCAGAGGTAATTCTATCCAGGTTGAGGAAGAACCACAATTTACAGGTGCGGTATTCTGAAAGCACAACTCGCATTTTTGAAGTTACCACAAAACTGCCATAGAAAAGTTGCTGTTGTGGTGTTTTGGTTTTGTTAGGGTTTTTTTGGTTTTCTTTTGGTTTTGGGGTTTTTTTTGGTTTGTTTTTGTTTTTTAATCCATGCGGCGAAAATAGAAGTATCCGCCGATAATTCGATCAAATGGCGGTAGCTGCAAAAGAGCCTTCTTTTCACCACAAAATGTTTACAACATGCCGCTAATTTCTAGAAAATCTCTCGCACCATCTTATTTCTTCATTTAGGAATATTCATTTTGATATGTAGGGGCTCTGAAGTCTCGCTCAATGGTTTTTTTTCCAAAAATACCTTACATTTCAATTAAAATAATATCGAGGCAATGTTTATACACTATACACACCAGCGACTTAAATTTTGTGGTTCACTTGGTGATATTTCGTGCACTAGGATCCGCCTTACTTCTTTTCACGTTTTGTTTAATTTACGGTGTCTGTACCTTTGATACTCTATTAAAAAAAAAAAAAAAAAAAGAAAAGCAATAAACGACGAAGCAGTACCTTAGGAGAATAATACAGAAAAAAAGCCAACCCAAACAAAAAAACCCAACAAGACAAATCCTTAGCTGGAGCTGAGAGTCCGTGATCTCTGTGTGCAACTTGATGTAACGTAGGGCGTAAGTCGCACACACAAAAGATCAGCTCAGGATCCATACACCGCCAAACCAAACAATTCTTCCACATACATGCCGTGACCCACACATTCTTTAATTCCTACCAGCTTTGTCTGTTTTCCTTTTGATTGCTAATATGTATCAGTGCCTTTTATAAAGCTGAAGTCAGTGCTAGGCACTGACATTCTACGGTTAAGCGCGGTGCAGTGTTGGCGCGGGGATGAAAACAAAACCGGGGCCGGTCTGCGCTGGGCAGCGAGCGCCAGCATCCCGGTGCCGGTCTGCGGAGGCCGGAGAACACAGCATCCCAGTGCTGGGCGCTACAAGCACCGTCCTGTCTCCTCCCAAGGCAAGGGAAAATGCACCTCGTTTCCTGGTCGGTTGGTGATTTTCACCAAAAATGACTCAACTCTCATCGCTCACGGTCTTCTCGTACACCGCCCGCGAAACATTCGTTAGCGAGAAGGTGCTTTATTATAACGAGGCGACCAAACCCGCGAAGAACTTCTCTCCCGCATCCGCAAACTTAACGCGGGGAAAGAGTGTGTGTGCCAAGGCATTGCTCTGCTTCATTCGGGGAAAGGGGGAACAGCTCTGCCAGGCTCGAAGTCTCCTCTCCGGCTGCATACTCCCGGAAAAGAGCCAGAAAGGGTGGCGCTGCGTTGCCCGCCGAGCCGTGCCCCGGCCCCGCGGATCTGCCTGCCGATGCCCCGGCCCCCGCCGGCCGAGCAGTGCCCGGCCACAGCACCAGCCCCGCTCAGCACCGCCCCGACGCCGGCGGCGCTTCCCGCGCAACTCACCGCCGCAGGTGCGGAGCCGCCGTCCCGGAGCGGCGGGCCCAGGTGCGGAGCGCTGCGCGGGAGCGGAAGGGCCGCCGCAGCCGCGCTGTCCGTCATCTCCCCTGGCCACTGGGAGGGCGGCTGGGCGGTGGGGCCGCCCCAGGGGCGGGCTCGGAGGGGCGGTGGGCCACGGGCCCTGCCCAGCCCGGCCCTGCCCACGCTGTCCTGAGGTTGAAATGCACAAGTCAAGGCTCTCTCGTCGAGATGTAGATTTCCTTGTAGTTCTTTTCTTCCTCACGCTACTGTTCCCTTCTCAGCGGAGATCAGAGAGGCTCGGGGCTAGTGCGGCCAGGAGCGCAGGAGGACGGGAGTCGGTTCCCGGGCATAGGGATCCGTTGGGATTTAGGGCCGGCCTCGAGGTGCCCCGCTCAGAGGAATGGGTAAGTGGCCGGGAGCCGCAGGAGGGTTCAAGTGCTGTCAAGAGAGGGGGAGCACCCGTGCGCAGTCATCTGCCACCGCCACGGCTCCCTTGTTGACTTTGCTCGTGTTCCTACAAGTTGTAAGAACATGTTGAGGGTCAGGAGCAGGGGAGAGAGAGAGAGCTAATGACTAGTCGGCTTGTTATTACTGTTATTAGGCGAGTGCGAGGCAGGATCGCAGCCGAGCGGATGGCTGGAGCCCGTGACACGTTGTATATTATTCCTGACACCGATCGTAGCAGTTAACATTTTAACACGCTTGTTTTACAGCCCAGAGTAATCGTGCTGTTAAGCGAAAGGCGCTAACAGCACCAGGAACGGTCTTTAAAAAGTTAGTCCCGACTCAGAAGCACCGCGCTGCCCTCGTCTCTCCCAAGATGTAAAAGAATTTCCTCAACTACTTCTCCTTCCTCCCCCTCCCCCACGTCTTAGAAGATGTTTTTCTTTTCTTTTTGTTTTCTTCGCGTTCCTTTTTCCTGTGGCAATAAAGCTGACTTGTCTGTTGGGGCGATCTCATTTTTCATCTCTGGAATGTGCTTATTTTTGGGAATATGCTTGATGCACAGTCTGGGTCCGGAGGGCCCCGACATTTGTTGCCACAGATTTTCTTTCTTTCTCTCTTTTCTTTTTTATTTCTCGCTCTCTCTCTCTCTTTTTTTTTTTTTTTTTTTTTTTTTTTTTTTTACCCTCTCACTTGTTTTCCTCACTCCCCCCTTTCCTTCCTTCAGTCTCGGGGGTATCCCGCGATTATAAAGAAGCGTGCGTGGAGTGACCGGGGATGGGGGGATCCCTGTCTGTGACATCTGTCTGTGATGAGGAGCAGCTCAGACGCCCCCTTCTGTGCCGTCCGCCGTGTCCGACGGCTGTGTTTGTGCATTTGCTTGCAGAACCTGCCTTCGGGGAAGTGAACCAGCTCGGGGGGGTGTTTGTCAACGGGAGACCCCTGCCCAATGCCATCAGGCTGCGGATTGTGGAACTGGCGCAATTAGGTATCAGGCCGTGTGACATCAGCCGGCAGCTCCGCGTTTCTCACGGCTGTGTCAGCAAAATCCTGGCTCGCTACAACGAGACCGGCTCCATCCTACCGGGGGCTATCGGCGGCAGCAAGCCTCGGGTCACCACTCCTACGGTGGTTAAACATATCCGGACCTACAAACAAAGGGATCCGGGCATCTTCGCCTGGGAGATCCGGGATCGCCTGCTGGCCGATGGCGTGTGTGACAAGTACAACGTGCCGTCGGTCAGCTCCATCAGCCGCATCCTCCGGAACAAAATTGGGAACCTGTCTCAGCAGAGTCACTACGAGTCTTACAAGCAGCACCAGCCGCCCCCACAGCCCGCTCTGCCCTACAACCACATCTACCCCTATCCCAGCCCCATCGCTGCTGCAGGAGCCAAGGTGTCCACCCCTCCAGGGGTGCCGGCAATCCCCAGCACCATGGCCATGCCCAGGACGTGGCCGTCCTCTCACTCGGTGACGGACATCCTGGGGATCCGGTCCATCACAGACCAAGGTGAGGAGTCGGGGGGAGCCGGGGCCACAGAGTCACCAAACAGAGCCAGAGGGGTTCGGTCCCCTGCTCCTGGGTTCTTTCCTCTCCGAGGGTCGGAAGGTGGTTTCGTTGTTTGATTTGGGAAACCCCTCGCGTTTTCCCCAGCAGGGGCCGGGCAGTGAGCTTGCTGGAGGATGCGTCTCGGAACGTGGGCAGACCGAAGGGCCTGGGTGGGCTGCAGGCGGACCAGCAAACAGGACTCATCGGCCGTCACCTCCGCCTCTCTGGCCCGGGAAGTGGCGATCTCGGCCGGAGGGAGAGGCCCGGGGTGCGGCGGCACCAGGACGCGCTCGGTCCCTGTCCTGATCCCTACCGAGGCTCCCTGTCGCACTCCGGTCACGGGCGCTGCCTTGACGTTACTGAGAAGTCAATTTTCTGTAGTTTTCGCAATCAGGCCAAATTTGCTTCGGCAGGAAGTTCAAATGTCATCTAATTGCTTTCATTCTGATGCTGTATTTTCCTCCGAAGCGGTAGTCTAGGAAAACCAAAGGCCCAAGTTTTGCCTCTTTTATCCCTTTCACATTCTTTGTGTTTCTCCGCCTGGAAACTGCGTCGCGTCTCCCGGCCGCTCGCTAGCAAGGGACATTTTTTCCATTTCAGTCTCTGCCAGTGAACTAACAGCGAAAGCGCTACTCAAAGTGTCACTGAAAACAACAATCCAAAATAACCTTTGCCTATAGCTATCTCAGTGTCCCATTCTTCTCTCAGTATTAGTGGAGAGGTGGGAGTTGTGATCTCTGTTTTCACTGCCTTTTAAACAGCAGCAATCCAGTTCTAGCAGCATTTCAAATGATGCAAAATGATCTTTTAGGTATTGCAGAATAATTTTCTTCTTATTTCATCAGAAAGGTGATCTTTTTTTTTTTTTTTCAAACAACACACACGCACGCACAAGTATGTTTTATTTATATGTATACATGCAAAAAATTGTAAGTTTGTTCTTCTTTGCCCTTCATGATATAAACTTTATCCTCCTCCTCCTCAGCGGCACAAACAAATGTGCTTTTTTCTGAGTAGACTTTAATAAACAGATGCCTGGACATCTCTGAGGCAATCTGGAGGTAGTGTCGGCAATGAACACTAAAAAGAATGAGAACATTGCAATCACATGAAAAATTTAGGTTTTTTTTGTTTTCGGTTTTGTTTTGTTGGGTTTTTTTGTGAGTTCCTCCTTTATTAACACCACATTGGCAGGCAGGCCTCTGACGGTGCTGCCGGGTGCCGCGGAATCTGCCCGGTCTCCCTCAGCCCCCGCAGCGGCACACATCTTTCTGCAGTGTGAAATCTCCCCCCCTCCCCTTCCCGTCAGAGGGTCGGGGCTGCGGAGTGGCCGGTGCCGCAGATGGGGGCTGTTCGCCCTTGATTTATAGGGTAAACTGACCTTGCTGACACGGAAAGGAAGCCCCTATTCATGGGAAAGTGTGAGATCAGCAGAAAAGGGCGCTCACCGAGGGAGCTCAATTTCTTAAGACAACTTCAGATTTGTGCCTTTTCCCAGCACGGCGAGGGGCCGAGCGAGGTGATGTCGCAGCAAAGCCCCCTCCCACGGCGACTCCGGTGCTGCCGGGCGGGGGGTTCGGGGCAGGGCTCTTCCCTGGCCCCCCGGTGCGGGAATTTGGCCGCTCGAAGAATTTATCCGCTTGCAAAACATCCCGGTATGCCCATGGCGCGGCTGATAGGCGTGTAAATAATAGCACTGTTATCTCTTTTCCTCCCCGTTTTTTTATCTTCCTCCTTTTATTTCCCCATTCAAAAAGATATATTTATTTATTTACTTTTGTGTTTCGTTTTCATTCTCTCCCAAAAAGTGGAGCCCAGTTTCTGCAGGCGTGTCAGGTCTGTTCATAACACGGGGTATCGTTTCTCCTCTGACTCACATATACACACCCATAGGAGATAGCCGTAGGAGATCCTGGGGGACAAGTGCCGGGCGGCGGCCCCGTCCCGCAACTGCGGGGACGTGGAGACGGGCGAGCCAGCCAGCCCTGGGCTCGGTTGCAGATTTCTGTCACAGGTTCCACGGAGAGAGGGAGCCGACTCCCTTCTGCCCACGAATCACCCTCTCAAGGAGCTTCCGGGAGCTTCAGCGAGGTGTGGCGGGCGGGGGACCGGCTTCCCCTTAGCTCTGCCCCACAGACTGCCTCCCATGGGGAGAGGGAGACGTCTCCATCCCGAAGCAAAGCCACCTCCATCTCCGAATCCCAACCTTTGCCTCTAACTCCCCCTCTCCCGCTCCTTTGCTTTCCAGCAGTGAATGACACTTCGCCTTACCCCAGCCCTAAGGTGGAGGAATGGAGCAGCTTGGGCCGAAACAGCTTCCACCCGTCGGCCCAGCATGCCGTGAACGGGATGGAGAAGAGCTCCCTTGAGCAGGAGGCCAAGTACAGCCAGGTAAAGAGAGAGGTGGGGGGCGGGCCGTGATGTACAGGGCTCCTGAGCTCGGCTTCGGGCTACCGTCCTCGGTTTGGAGCCGGTGCAGGATTTCCCTCGGTTTTGGTTTGCAAAGACGGGCGGGAAAAAGCCTGGCTCTCTCCGCTCCTCTCTCCGCTCCCTCCCCCGGCCTGGCCGCCGCGGCGCCCAGCACCCCATCCCGCCGTGCTGCCGGCGGGGCGGCAGCGATCGCACCCCGGGCCGGGGCTGCCCCCGCCCAGCGGGACCCGCCGCCACCGACCCCCGCCCCGGCCGGGCCAGCGGGCGCGTCCCGCCGCCGCCTCCGCCCCTACAGCCGCGTTTTACTCCGTCCGCAGCGTGCTCTGTAGTCAGGGGAATAATTTGAAAATGAGGTGTAATTGCTTCCTACATTAAGCATTTTTAAACGCTTAAGTAGACGGCGAATTTCCTACGTTTTAATTACAACACAATATAACTGTTACTTAATAAATCTCTGTCTAAATCTTTGTACTTGCTAATCAAGTCCCATGCCAGGAGAAAAGCTATAAAAGGCTCAACTGTTACTCATTGGGAAAGCACAAGATTTGAAAACATTTTTTCCGTGTGGTGGAAACATTTCAAAAAGCATCAGAGGTCTCTCAGACACACTGACTTGCTGGTCGCGCATTTGTTGTACTTAGAACCAAGTCGAAGAAAACCCACAGTCACTGTTTAGCATTTTTTCCGTTCAAAGACAGAGGTTTTGGACATATTTTCTGAGTTCTGTGTCTAGTTTTAGATCCATGTAGAGGACGCTTTTGTAGCTCGTGTTTGGTGGTGAGAGTAGCTGAATCAGAGTTTCACATTCAAGATGCGGAGCACAAACTGCGGGAATACTTGCAAAGAACGGGAAATACTGTAGATCCCGACAGCGTGCAGCTACTTCATTACGTATATTGCCTTTTAAACAATACACCACCCTCAATACTGCCCTATTTGTTTTGTTTTTCTATTATCCCATTTTTATTATGTTCATTTCATATCACAAATAATGTGTGCTATAGTGTAAGCCATGATTGTATGGTTAAAGATAGAACTAGACTTAGATTTAGTGTTACTACCTCTTCTACAATTTTCTGTAAAGACTAAAATAAGCATCAACCGTCTTGCTAAAAAATAATAGATATAGCTTGTCACTATTCTGTAAGAGCAGCTGTACTGTAGCTTCATTGTCTTAGGTTCCAGGCTGGGCCCTCTGCACACAATCCTGCTGAAATATTCACAGGGTCTTGTTCATAGGCTATAAACCATGGCCTCTGATGGCTCTCATTTACTTCAACAGGCGTGTTGAGAAACAGTGTTTTATAAATTGGGTTATTTTCAATGCTGATTTAGAAACTATTTTTTACTTTTTCATTTTTTTTCTTTTTTTTACTTTCAATATTTATGATTTCATCTTCATAATATATCACTGTTCTATTGTCAATACCAGTTTTACTTTAAAGTTTTGTTCAACCCGAAAGGTCACCTGATAAATGTTATTTAAACATAATGCTCTATTCAAAATTTGAGGAAATTACTATTAATAAAATGGAATTCATTTATCCAAATAAATTGTCCAGAGAGTTTCAAAGGGCAGAAAAGCCATATTCAGAACCCCGCTCTCTAAAGGAAATATAGAGGAGGTTCTTCCCGGCTTCTTCTCTGTAATAATATAGGTAAACAGAATTTGGCTTTGGAAAGTTCTAACACATAGACCTGTCTGTTCATATTGTATTCAGAATTGTTACCCAGATAATTAATTTGAATGTGCATTAATTGCTTTGTCTGTTCCGAGTTCACTGCCTTGCTAATTTAGAATGAGTTTTAAAAAATCATGCTAAATAAGGATGGGAAAATGTGCTTATTTGCAGTTTTTTGCCACATTTCTTTTGCCAAAATATTTATTCCAGACAGTGTGAAGTTTATGAACCAAATTCCTGTTGCACATAGCACCAACTTACTGTCTTTTCGCTGAAGTGCAGTGAGTCTGGAGTGACAGCCTGTGACAGTAAAGACTTACAAAATTCTCTGACATCGTGGGATCCATGGTCTCTTGCAATGTGTACTGTTTGGGTGTAAAGAGATGGGCAGGGGACATGAGAGAATGTTGGTTCATTTGTGAATTTAGCAGGGGGTATCTGGTGGGAAAATGGGACTCTCAAACATACTCAATATGCTAGAAGGACTGCAGTGAAGTAGGCTCTGACTTTGTACTTTGGGGTAAATGCTATTTCCCTATCTCTTTTGGGCAAAGCTCATTACAAATATTCTTAAGGGTCTTAAGGAGGCAGACATCAGAGTTCCCCCAGAGAAGTGATTGTTTTGTGATACTCCAGATTTATGTCTGTATTATCAAAATCAGAGGTGCCTACAAGAGGAGGGAATCAAGTCTGGATGTTTAACTTAGGCTTCTCAATTTCACCACAGGAGCAGAGGAAATGTGCTCTGAAGCATATTAACAATGGATTTTGTGTGAGTGATAGGTAATTCTGCATTTTCCAATGAATATCATTTACATATTTAAGCATCACCAACATCCAAAGTTCACCTGTCCTTAGCTTGCAAATAGCTCCATAACTACTAGGCAAGTGAAGGACTTGCTCCCCAGCCTTAATCACGGAAGATAATATTTTCCTTCTCAAGAAATCCCCTGGAAAAATCCCTCTGTGTGAGAAAGACGAGAAAAATTGAGACCAAAGAGCAAGATCTTGTGTACTTTTGAAATATATTTATTTGATCACTTCTTTTAAATGATATACATTTGTTTTAAGAGACGGGATACTGTAGGCTTTTTGTAGACAAAACTCTTATTTGACATCCCAGACTTGTCAGACAGCAGCCAAAGGCGATCTCTCCAATCAGTTCCAATGGCTATATTTCAGCCCTTGTGCCACACATTAGTGGGAATTCACCCACAAAAAAGGCAATAAGTCTTCACATTTTTGCCTTGACAATATGCAGTCACACTAGTTTAACATGAAACTGAATCTCTGGATGTAGAACATTTTTCATTTTATGTATTCTGGATTTCCTGAGGCTTTTGTTTGCAATGTTGTTCATATTTGGGTTTTGGGAGTTGAAAGCTCAGCCTGGCTATGATTCTGTACAAAGCATTCCACAGGAAACCAAAAGATGCCTTGTCAAGTTTCTATTCAGGTTTAATTACCTGATGTCCCAGGTTGTCATTTATACGTAAGCAATTGCATAATTTCCTTGGTGTATCACACTCACAGATTTGTCATATGGCTTTCAAACAGAGTGACTGTGAATTAGAGAAACTGAAAAAGAAAACAGGTTTTTCCAAGAGCTTGACAGTTTTTTGTTGTAAACATTTCATACAGAGGTCAGTTATATTGCATTATTTATGCAGAGAGGCACATTCTGTGTGGTGTTCAGATGCTTCTACAGATAATTATGCTGTTGTTACAAAGGAAGAATATTCTGAGTATTTTCTTATACTGACTACTGCATTAAGAAAAAAATAGCTGAAATGACTGCAATATGAACACATTTGTAACCTGCGTTTGAAATCAAAACACTTAATAAACATGTATTGTATTTAAAATGCAGATCTCAGACATCTGATGCTTGTGACTTGCTGGACTAACATCATGGATGTTCAAAGTGAAAAAAAAAATTGTGGTCTGTATTTACACATGTATGAGAGTGAAGAAGACCTGACATGTGTCTGTATGATTTGCTGAGAGGCAAAGAACTTGGAAATAATTTCTTTCCAGAATGACTTTCTGTGTGCATTGCAGGAAGCAGATGTGCATATTGCCAAAGGGAGCTGATACTCATTAATGGGAAAAAGCTTGTAACTGGGGGGTCTAAGAGCAAGCTCGCTCCTGGAAGTGGTATGCTGTTTGGAGCCTAATCCCAAACCTACTGGAGCTGCAGAAACACTCCTCCTAAGTCACAGGGGCTTGTGAACAGAGTTTGAGTCAAGTCTTCCTCTGACATGCTGGCCAAACCTCTAAGCAGCAGCTGCCTCAGGTCTGTCTCAGCTGAACTTCATCAGCTGCTAGGGGCTTGGGTTTCCAGCATTGCTGGGACATCACTCCCCGTCCTTGGGCTGCATTCTGGCCAGGGGCCGTGAGCTCTGTGTGCTGCAAGCACGTAAGGGCAAGGCTGCAGTTTAGGGCAAGTGATTACAAATGTAGGTGCAATTCTGGACAATTACTTGCAGAGAAAATATAGGTAATGTAAACATTTAGTTCCTGATCTTTCATTTGTAGATGAATACTGAACTGTATATTTGGTGGCCGTGCATAGCTGTATCTGCAGTGCTTAGAACCCACAACACAGGATAACTTCTTTGGGGAGAACATTAAAATGTAGCCTTAAATATTATGGCAAATTACAAGGTCCTCCTACACACACGCTTTACTGAAAAAATTAATTTGCAAATTACTTATTTGTCATCTTATAAGCGGGATCCAAGCTGTTGGATTCCCGGTATGGATCTGTGCAAAATCCATCAATGACAGAGGTCTGGACCTACTGCTTCTCAGTCATACCCAGGCAGGAGAGGGGGGTGAAGCTGTGAAGGAGAGGTGTCTATTTGCTTTCTTGCCGTAGTATCCAGCAGCATTGTTAGCAGAGTCTGGTGCAGGGGATCAGACCTTGCCTTGGAGACTGTCTGGTTCTGTGTCACTCCCACTAGGATCTCCAGACCAGGCCTGCTATCAAAATATTGCCACTAAGCCTGCTCAAGGTCTAGGCATCCTTGTCATTGCATGTTGTGGGTGAGGGGGATGAGCTGATCCCACTACATGCACCCGATTCCTTCCCAGGTGATCTGGATGGCACCCAATTCGAACCCCATTTGTGAGACCTGCCTCTTACTGGCCACCTGCTTCCACGGCCAAAACACAGTGCCCTGTCCACCAACCCACATGGCTTCAGGGCATTCCACCCGGATGAAACTAATAAAGAAAGTCAGAGAGGTGAGTGAATGGTATGATGACACTCAAACT